CATTCGAATCGTAACTTCAATAAAGCCACATTCTTCGCCGCTCAGCTCGAAAAGTGTATGGCGTGAAAAAGAACATGCCAGCCCAGCCGTCAAGCAACGCGGTTGTTGATTGCACGACGGCGGTCATCTGCTGGCCGCTGGCCGCCGGCCGCCAGCAGTTGATCGCATACGATTTTTTCTGGACAAGAGTCCTCGTCATCCAGTGACCGATGACCAGCCGTTAGGCGAACGCCGCTAGACGAGTGCCGAGCAGTGTCCTTAAGTGAACTAGGCGCGCAAGAAGTCAGCAAACTCATAGAGTCAGTTCCGCATCGAAGCGCGAGGACGGACTTTCGGCGCACGAACAAGGCGCGGCACCGGCGTGGACCGTTGTTCAGTCCCGAAGTCCACCTCCCGATATCCGAATGCCGTTCACGGAAGCTAAACAGTGCTAAAGAAGGCCGAACGGGCACACGCCAACGAATTTTGCTAACTCTCTAGCTTGCTAGCTGGTTCACTCGTTCAGTTGCCATCGTCTCTCGCCGTGTCGTCTCTGCGTGTTGGTTCAGTGAGCCAACGTTTACTTACTTATGTGGCTCGCATGTTACTGCGACAAAAAAGTGTCACGTTTTTTACCACCTCGAGAACGATAGCGCCGGCCTGAACAATCTGACGTTTGTGCTGCGCCCAGGCGTTGTTACAGAGCGGCGCTTCGGCCGTTCGTCCGACGGTTCTCTGAGTTGCGCAAAGGTTATTAAGCCGTAATTAAGAGTTTACGAATGGCTGTCGCCCGGAAATAGCGCTGGCCGTGGCCGTCTCTACTCGTTTCCACGCGAGGGAGACAAGAACATCGCCTACCCGCCCTAGAGCACCAATGCATGCAATCGCTTGATCAGAACTGCGCAATACAATGGTTGCACGCTGTATGCGCCGCTACTAACGCGCGACTACCGCTACCGTAACGGCATGCCTTAATACGGTATAAAAATCGATCCGGTTATGCTGATTGGTTCAATTCACGCAGCATCGACAAACACGCCCAATAGCGGAAAGCGCTCACGTTACCGTATATGTAAAAGCGTAAGGAGCGTATAAGATAAGGGACGTACAGCGTTGGCTGGTAAAGGTCCAATCACGAGTACAATCACGAAAAATAGCAGTGACCATGAGCAGAGAAATCTGAAACGAAAGGTATTACCGTTGATCACTGTCTGTGGCGGCAGGTGCCATACCGTAAGTTAGGCAGCGGTCTCGATGGCGCGCATGCGGATGCAACTGCTGCGAAAATGGACGCAACGCCGAGAACGGGCGTGGACTCGCGTGCGCGCTTGTCTTCGCGCACAAGGCCCACTTGGCCCGGGCTCATGTTCCCGTGTAAGCTGACTTCGAGAAGTGGTCGGGAGGACGACGGGGAGCGAGATGCGGCGGAGAACGGACGACGACGACGGCGGCGGCGACGGCGGCGGCGGCGGCGGTTGCGGAGAGTTCGGAATGCTGGCTCTGCGACGGGGTGGTGACAACGGACGACGACAACGACGACAGGTCTGGAGTGTGGCGGGCGTCAGCGAGCGTTCCTTCACTTGTGCGCCGAACGGCGAAGTCCTGACTGGAACCAAAAGCGACCTTGCAAGCAAACGGTCCTGTAATTTCCAACAAACACAAGAGAACGCACGCGCCAGCCAACAGAAAGGCACAACAGCGACTGAGAGGTGAGGTGAGGCGAGGCGAGGCGAGGCGAGGCGAGGCGAGG